TGTCAAAATGAACAAGAACACGGGAGTTAACTTTAAAAATAAGGGAAGAAATCTAAAACCACCTCTATGGTTAGAGTTGCTACGGAGAACAGTGCTGAGCTTCTTTCAGTTTTGCCATGTAAAACCATTTCTAATTCTTAGATTCTTGATTCAGGTTGCTCTTTCCATATGTGTGCAAACAGGTTTTGGTTCGACACATATGAAAAGAAGGATTGAGGTGAAGTACTCATGGGGAACAATGTCGCATGCAAGGTCATCTGCATTGACACGGTAAAGGTGAAGATGTATGATGGCATCATTCGCACTTTCGGCAATGTGCGACATGTTCTTGCACTCAAGAAGAACTTGATTTCTTTGGGCACTCTAGATGCAAGCGGCCTCACCTACTCCTCAGGTAGAGGAAAGATCAAGATTTGTAAGGGCTCGATGGTGATCATGTGAGGAGAGAAGCTTCCCAACAACTTGTACAAGCTTCTAGGAGATATTGTCCCGAAGAAGTTATTATATCCACAACTTCCAAAGAGGACTCCAAGATTGACTCTGAGAAAGACTGGGCTCATCTTGGCCATATGAGTGAGCGAGCTATGGAGGAGCTGCACAAGAGGAAGCTGTTGAAGAATATGGAGACTTGCAAGTTGGATTTCTGTAAGTATTGTGTACTTGGAAAGCAATGCAAAGTCTCATTCAAGCTTACAAACAAGGAGAATCGTGCAAAGGGGATTCTTGACTATATTCACTCCGATATATGGGGGCCGGCACCGACAAAATCTCATGGTGATGCTCGTTATTTTGTCACCTTCATGGATGACTATTTGCGAAAAATTTGGGTCTACTTCATGCGAAAGAAATTTGAGGTCTTTGAGAAATTTAAAGAATGGAAGGCAGAAGTAGAGAACCAAACTGGACGAAAGATCAAATATTTGTGAAGTGACAATGGAGGTGAATATTATGATTGGAGGTTCCTAGCGTTTTGCAAGCAAGAATGCATTACACGACACTTTACCGTGAAGAAAACTCCACAACAGAATGGTGCTGCGGAAATGATAAACTGGACTCTCATGGAGAAAGAAAGATGCATGAGACTTCATGCAGGATTGCCTGAGTCTTTTTGGGCTGAATCCGTTAACCATGCTGCCTACTTGGTTAATCGGTCACCGTCTAAGCTATTGAACTTCAAATACGCCGAATAAGTATGGTCAGACAAAGAAGTTGACTATTCTACTCTGAAGGTTTTTGGATGCAAGGCGTATGTTCATATTCTGAGTGACGAACGGAACAAGCTGAAGCCAAAGTCACTCGAGTGCATTTTTCTCGGTTTTGAGAAGGGAGTGAAAGGCTACAAACCGTGGGATCCGAAAAACAAGAAGAAAGTGCTGAGTAGAGATGTCGTGTTTGATGAAAGACTTGGAGCTAAAGCTATTGACAAAGATGAGGATCATGGAGAGAATCATTATTGTACTGAAATTCCTTTATGAACAGAAGGTTATATTCCAGAAAGTCAAGTTGAGGTGGAGCAACACGACGAACAACAACAAGCTGAAGACGTTCATGTAGGACCTACAAGCATAGCACAATCAAGACAGAGAAGAGTCATCAATCCTCCTCAATGATTCGGATGGGAAGTTGAAGCCTGCTATGCACTCTTAGCTAGCGGAGAAGATCCTTCTACTTTTAAAGAAGCCATGGAAAGAGATGAGCGACACGAATGGATAGGTGCTATGTCGAAGGAGATGCAGTCGCTCCATAAGAACTATGTTTTGGAGTTAGTTCTGAAAGTGCAAGATCGAAAGATCATTGGCTCCAAGTGGGTTTATCGGAAGAAGGAAAGTATCAATGAAGCAGATGCTCTTACCTACAAGCCAAGGTTAGTTGCAAAGGGGTTCTCGCAAAAGGAAGGTGTAGATTATGGTGAAATTTTCTCTCCAGTGGGCAAGCATACATCCATTCGGGTTTTTCTATCTCTAGTAGCGCAACATGACATGCAGCTGGAACAACTCGACGTGAAGACAACTTTTCTTCATGGAGATTTGGAGGAAACCATCTATATGGCTCAGCTAGAAGGATTTGTGGAAGAAGGAAAGGAAGACTTTGTGTGCAGATTGAAGAAGTCTTTGTATGGGCTCAAGCAATCTCCAAGATAATGGTACAAGCTCTTCGACCCCTTCATGCTCCAAATTGGCTACGAGAGAGATGAGTTTGATTGTTGTGTTTACTCACGCACATTTGATGATGGCCACATGATTATTTTGATGTTGTTTATGGATGACATGCTGATTGCATGTCGAGATATGTCAAAAATAAATGAACTCAAAGGAATGTTGAGTTTGGAATTTAACATGAAAGATCTTGGTGCCGCCAAGAAGATTCTCGGAATGAAGATTAAAAGAGATCGGGATAATAGGAGATTGTATTTATCTCAAAGCAAGTACATTGAAAATGTCCTTGAAAGATTCAACATGGTCAATTCCAAGCCCGTGTCCACTCTATTGGCTACTCACTTCAACTTAAGTACAAAGCAGATGCCATCTACATAAGTTAAAGTTGAAGAAATGAAGAAGATTCTGTATGCAAGCACAGTCGGGTGTTTAATGTACGCAATGATATGCACAAGGCTAGATCTCGCTCAAGCTTTGAGAGTGGTGTCAAAGTACATGTAAAATCTAGGTAAAGATCATTGGCAAGCTGTCAAATAGATTCTCAGATACCTAAAGGGCACCGGATACATGTCAAATCTGGTTTCATCGATTCTGATTACGCAGGAGATTTAGACAAGAGAAGATCCACAACAGGATACATTTTCACTTGTGGTGGAGGACCCATATCTTGGAGATCCATGCTACAATCCATCAGTACCTTATCTACCATAAAAGCTGAGTACATGGTATTAACGGAAGCTGCGAAGGAAGCCATATAGCTCAAGGGCTTAGCAAGTAATTTGGGTCTAAATCAAAACTCTGTAAAAATTCAATGTGACAGCCAGAGTGCTATTTATCTTGTAAAGAATCAGGTATTAAATGCAAGGACAAAACACATTGAAGTACGCTATCATCGGATTCGTGATTGGCTCATGACAGGAGAGGTCGATGTGAAGAAAGTTCATACAGACGCGAATGCAGCAAATTTTCTCACTAAACTAGTTACGACGGAGAAGTTCAAGCATTGCTTGAGTCTGCTAAATCTGACGACATGTTAGCTCATGAGTGCACCTAGTCACCAGAGGTGCGGGGAGATGAGTTGATGCTCATCAAGGTGAAGCAGCTAAAGCCAGAGCAAGACTTGCTCTGAAGTTCCGGAGTATAACTTCTTAGATTCCGAAGATCCATGTTCCGAAGACAAGTGTTTGTGATTCAGATGAACATTGACATTCCAGAAACTCATACTCCGAAGACTAATGCTCCGAAGATGTAGCTTATAATTTCGAGCGGCATCAGATATCTCGCCAAGGTGGAGATTGTTGGAGCTGGCTCAATTTCCAACTAGATTTATTGCTGTAATTTTCTGCATGCAGATACAATTTTTCATGGTTATTTCGGGCATGCTACAGTCATTATTTGGCTTGGAACTCTATATGAAAGTTGTAGAGGTACATGCATAGTTTACTCCAAGCTTTGAATCACTGGAATCAGAGCAGTATGGATAGAGTTATGGTAAGTCAAAGTATCCTACCCGAATCTAGACATATTTGTGTATTCCCAAGCATTTTGAAAGATGAAAAAGTTAATCAATGCCTATAAAAAGGCATGCTCTCATTGTGGAGAGGTAATCAAAGGCAATCCAAGGGTAAGCTAAGTTTTCCACTTGATCTCTTGAAAGTATAGAGAGTTAGAGTGAATGAGAGTCCCTTGTGTTGTAGAGATCTCGAGTGTTGAGTTAATAGAGAAAGAGCGTAAGTAAGAGTTGTGTGGAAGTCGCCGTTGTCGGGTGCGTCGTATGTGCCTTGTACCCATTTGTTTTTTCCATATAGTGAAGTATCCTCCGACCTCTGAGATCAACCCGTGGTTTTTCCCGTTTGGGTTTTCCACGTAAATGCTTGTATCCATTCTTTATGTGATTATCTTTTATCTTTTTATCATTAAGAACAAGAACCTGAAGTGGTGTTGAGAAGTTTCGCGGTTCGTCAACACCAACAACTGCAGTGGTTAGCTTCAGTTTATAATCTTCAAATTCTGATGGCTCAATGAATTGTCTCAATGGTTACTTGCGGATGTACTCCCCATACTATTAGCCAATTATGAATAGAATCAAACTAGTTCCATTATATGTTGTTGCAGATAGGTCCCCTTAATGAAAGTTTACGACTCTTCTACCCTTGGGAGGTATATTAGTCAAAAGAGGGGAAAAGCAATTTTCCTCTTTATCGTAAGGTATGTAAAAGAGTCAAAATTTATTCCAGGGTCCGTTTACAACAACAAATTATAGAGGGTCTAATAGCAATTGGGCGATAGTACATGCCGCAACTAACCATGGTATGAAATCCAATATAATAAGCTAGAACGTCCATATGAGCGATTTATAAGATAATCGCAAAAGAATTCACAATAAAGAATATTTTATTACAATATATATAAATTCGGGAAGAAAAAATCAAACCTAATATTTTTCAAAAAATATTTTACTTGGCCTTTCTACAAGCAAAAACTTCTAGAATACGTACGTGTATTTGTCACCCCAAATATAAGGTTAGAACGTTTACACAAATCACAATCTCACAAGCTCCCAACACAAATTCTCAACCCCCCCCCCCCCCTCCCCGTACCCGGCTCCGCCATACTTGTCCATACGGACCCCGAGCAACTTCGATCATCTGAAGAAGCCGCCGTTTGCAATTACACCATGTCTTCACCTCACTTTCAAATAGGACACCCAACAGGCCCACAAATAATAAACAAACAAATGAATTATGCGAAGAGAAATACGTGGTTTTTAGAATAAAAGGCAAGCGGGGCGGCGCCACTAAAGCCACGCTACAAATAGGAATGTCACGTTAGCAAGAGGAGTAGCCTGCATCCTCTATTCCCATCCTCCCATTATTTATCTCAACCCTGTCCTCTTACATCGCATAATACCTCCAAACGCCTTCTCATCTCTCGCTTCAACAACATCTCCCACCCCTCCTCTCGATCTCAACCCGAATCCTCATGGCCCAACAAGCTCACTGGGAGACATTCAGCGACGAGGACGATGACGACGGCAACAACAGCAACAACGACGATGCTCTATCCCTCTCTGATCTCCCTGTTGGATGCCTCGCGGAGAAGCAAGCGACAGGGTGCAAGCCCTCAGAAGCCTTGGAAGACTTCGAATTCCGGACGTGCGGGAATGGGCTCCTCTTGAAGCCCGGCCCAGCGGCGGAGGCCCACATGTGCGTCGCCGATGATATATTCTTCAAAGGCCAACTGCTCCCGCTCAAAAGCTGCAGCTCACAATCCGATCGTAGCCTTAGCAGTAACAGCGTCAGCAGCACTTCCAACTGCAGCAGTTCTTCGGTCAGCAGAAGTCAATCGTCAAGCAGTCATTCGAGCAATTGCGACGCGCCAAGACTGTCGATATCAAACAAGTTCTACGCGCACCCTAGCCCGAGACCGCAGGTAATTCGAACCAACATTAGCTCGGGTCGGAAGAGTACCGGCTCGGCTCCGCCAAGATGGGCCTTGCTCCGGCTAGGTGTGGTCAAGACACCCGAAATTGAGCTCAATGGCTTGAAGTTGAGGAGGTTGCGGTCCAACGAGAGCAAATGCGAGCCCAAGGCGAAGAAGTCCGGGCCTAGGTTCGGGTTCGGGTGTAAATGTGCACCCGATGTGACGGAGCCCGTGCTAATAAGGAAGAAGAAGGTGGACGCGGTGATCGGGTACGAAAAAAGGGAGAGTATTTGCAAGAGTAGCAGGATGTTTGAATGGTTAGAGGAGCTTTCAATTGGTAAAGGGTCAGCGTCGAGATAGGCTACATTGTGTGAATTGGTGATCATTGTGACACTATTTTTTTTTTCTTGATTTTGGCGAGAGAGATGATCTTTGGGGAGCTTTTGATTTGAATTTCTGACATGATTCTTTTGGTAACATGTTGAGTGTTGGGGGTCATGATAGAGGGGTGACCCTCACCATGGACAAAGTGATGGTGGAAGTGGTGGGGATAGAAAATTTTAATGTGCTAGCTTGGCTAACAAATTATGTAAAGGAAAAAAAAATTAAATTAGCTGTTTAACTTGAAACTGTGGCAAGCTTTGCTTCTTGTTGACGTTTTTGTTGTTTCTGACGTATTTAATTATACTTGTAAATTTGTGTTTATTCCGTCTTTGTTTAAAGTTTAGTCTCTGTCATCTATACATGTGACAATATTGTTGCACATTTGGATTGTGGGAGTTAACAATCTAAAATATAGATGGAAATTTTCTTTGATTTTTCCAGCCTCAATATTTCATAGAAATGAACTAAATTGGTGTTTCCAATGTGTGAGTTATACAATAAGGGGTTGCTACCTACAAATTAATAGTGATTTCAATCTTTTTGTTATAATAAAATATATCTTTATCATTCTCCTAAATTCTAATAAGCATAGTTTCTTAATGTGTCAGTCTAAGCTGCGCAGCGCGACACTCGGCCTTATTAAAATATCACCAAGGACCACAAGAGACGTGAGGGACTCCCAGTTATAACAATTTAAGGATCAGAACTCCATTTATCAACCAAAAAGTATTTCTATCATGTTCCCATTGTCAAAGACATGACATGTCAAAAGCGAACTATACAATTCATGGGCTAAACCTAGCTTCTACATAGCATTATAAAAAGCAATGCATCACAAGGCGATGCCCGGTGGGTGAGCACCAGTAAGGACCTACACAACTGCCCACTTGAACCACTTAATTCGTTCTATACAAACCGAAGTGATTATTGGGGACCAATTATACCTTGTAGATTCCGTATATATCCCACAGAATATTAACGTACACAAATGGGCACTTGAACCACTTCATTCTATACAAACCGAAGTCATTGTTGGGGACCAATTATACCTTGTAGACTCCGTATATCCTACAGAATATTAAACGGGTGATTTGAAGAGAGACCACTCCAAGACTGACTAACTTCATCTTACATGTAATTGTCAACAACGAGGGTATTAGTCCTCCCGCAAATACATCCGTTTTATATGTTTGTAGTGAATATGACTATAATATATAGAATCACCTTGGCATAATCAAGCAAAATTGACGCACTGCTGCATATAAAGCGCAAACATTTTAGGCTTGCAAACTACTATTTAGCTTTTGAGGAAGAAGAGTCAGTGAAAGGATACCCATAGGTTAAAGCTCCCGTGTTGTTAATTAAGAAGTAATCATCATTCTATGTACACTTGGCGTTTAGCAATGCCAAGGCTCAAACAACATGCGCACCAAAGTACTAATTGAGGCATGCGCTCAAAAAGTTGGTAGCATCAAGTATTGCATTGGTTCAAGATAAAGAAGATTACAGCAGGAGGGGGAGGCAAACTTTGAATGAGCCCACAACACAGCAGTGTGGGATTTATAACACGACTGAAACCTTACACGTGCGAGTGGCATGACTACTCCTCCTTAATTAGAAGAAACTGTTAACAAAACATTAAGTAGCAATGAAATGACTGGATAAAGAAGGGAAGAAAGGCTACCCATATGTTTCCTTGTCTTGATGATTGATCGATCGCTTTCACCTATTATATATTGCTGAAATAACCTTTCGAATTAAATAATCGCAAGGGCAAACAACGATTAATTTTAAATGTCGAAGGTGTTGCTCACTAAAACACGTACCCTCAAACCAAATAATACAACCTTGAAACGTACAGTTGCAGTAAAATGGAATTTTATATATTCGTAATCTCCCTCTGGTCCTCTGCTGTAAAGAGATGCACTTTCTCCTCTTTTTTATTTTTATTTTTTGAACGCACATTGCATCATTTGTAAAAGCTCAAGCAGCTAGGCAGCATTGTCTGGGCTAGTGTCTTCCAGTAACGCTGGCCATTGAAAAAAAAAATGATAATTTAAAAAGCTAAAACACATTTTAGTTCTATGTATGATCTAAATCATTTTTTCGCTGATATGAAACTAGATGGCTCTTGGACCATCAATTGTCCAGTAATTAAAATATCATTAAAAAAATTAAATTGATTTTTAACAAACAAACTCCAGCGGATAAATTAAAGAGTTAAAAAAATTTCACTCAAGCGATCTATCTACAAAATGAAAAATAGAAAGGTAGTTACTAGTATGCTCCAAGAAACGATACTATCTATCCACAATTAACCCTAAAATATATGAACATTCTTTGTGAATAAAATTATCCATCAAGACAAGAAGACAGATGAAACATTGTCCTCTGATGGAGCCAACGCTAGTTGGAAGTATTCTCTTTATGTAGGTTTTTTTAGTGCGTGCTACACTAACAAGGTGGGCTCTGAATGCATTTGGATTCTTCTTAATATTTTATACATGGTTTGTCCCTTTATATAAGTAAAAGGATGAGAGAATCGCAAATGCTGGTATGAAAAGATCATGATAGTTTTATATTGTTAGAGGATTACAATGACTTTTTTATTTCACTTCTGTTAAATGGTAAAGTGCAAGAGATGATGCTGAAAAAGGTGAAACAAATCTATAAAACAACATTATTTTTTCCTTCATTTTTTTATTTTCTGATAAAAGTAATAGTATTAAAAAGGGTTAATTATAGATATACCCATTATAATACTGGAAATTGAACTTACTACCCCAATAGCTTTATTGTTGTAAATAATTCCAAGAGTGAACTTTTTGACCCTTGTATGTGCAATTTCTTGTTTTTGAGTACTAACAAGCATTCTTTAGAGTCTAATTTGTGTTTGAGACGATTAATATAGTTTTAAATATGTGAGGATTGAGTTTGAGGCAAGATGGAATGAAATTCAGTTCTATACTGAATTTCAGCGAAGCTAGTCATCGATAACCAGGTACGTTCATTGATAATCCTCGAGCAATCACCATTTGTCTAGATGTCATTAATGACAAAATTATCCATAGACTTTTCAATCATGGACGAGGATCTCGATCATCGATGATCTCGATCATCGATGATCTCCTATGCATCCATCGATGACCCATGCATTATCGATGATAAGATGATCTAGAGACTTTCTAACCATCATTGACAAATTGCCATCATCGGTGATCAATGGATCATTGAAGACTGATCATGATCATCGATGGTTGAGTCACTGATTCTCAAATTTCAAGATTCAATCTCAACCATTTATTGCAGCTAGATATAGGGCTTCTCCCTTTGGATTCTGATTGATGTACCTAACCTAATTGAGAGAGAGAGAGAGAGAGAGAGAGAGAGAGAGAGAGAGAGAGAGAGAGGGGGGGAGAGAGGG